ACAACTGGCTTATGCAGTTAAGCTCAGTTGCAGTTCAGTATACAAGAGATGGCGTTGGACCAAATTTATTGCCCAAATATGGAGAACTGCTTAGGACAATTTAGTTCAGTTTAGTTGTTTATTTAAACTGCAATCCAGTGAGGTCTTATCAATATATAAATATCACTACTATATTGAGCTGGGTCAATTAGAAGAGTATATGAAAAAAAAATTAACATTAAATTTAAAAAAAAATTTTTTTTTTTTTGGAGAGGTTTTTGCTATAGGGTGCATGCACTAGCCAGACAGACAGAGACATAGAGACAGAAAGCGAGAAATCACTCCGCAGGGAGGATGGTCACACCACAATCCCTTCTCCTCCATTCTCCTCTCGGGATCTTGGGCATGCCAGACAGACAGAGAGAGACTTAGAGACAGAAAGCAAGAAATCACCTCCCAGGGAGGATGGTCACGCCACAATCGTTTCTCCTCCATTCTCCTCTCGGGCTCTTGGGCATGCACACGCGCTCGGCGTGAGTTCTAAGCCACCGGGTCCGGGACACGAACCACGGTCGACTACATGGGAATCCAGCGACATAGCCATTACGCCAACTGCTGGTTCCCAATTAAAAAAAAAATTTTTAAGAATTATTTATTTTATTTTATTTTTTAATTTAATTAATTAATTTTAATTTGACCAGAGAGAGACAGAGTGAGAAAGAGAAAGTGAGAAAGCAAGCCACCAGGTCCAGGCCTAGAACCACGGTCAGCCATATGGGCGTCCGGCACCCTTAACCACCTTGCCAACTGCTGGCCCCTATTTTATTCAATTATTTTAAAATTTGCTACAGGGGAGGGGCCAGAAGATGGCATATTGGTTAAAGCGCTGGACTCCCACCTGGTCCACAGTATTTCGAGTCCTGGACCCAGCAGCTTAAGACATAGGCCAGGCTCGTGTGTGAGTCCACAAGGTCCCAAGAGAAGAATAGAAGAGAGGGGACTGCAGTGTGGCCATCCCCCTGAGGGGTGATTTCTCACTTTCTGTCTCTCTAGTGGTCACACATGCCCTATAGCAAAAATCTCTCAAAAATACTAAAATTAAAAATAAAAATTTGTACATGTATTCACCAGAGAGAGGAAAAGTTTGAAAACAAACCGCCAGGCCCAGTACTCAAACCATGGCTGGCCATGTGGGAGGGAGTCCAATGCCTTAACCACCACACCACCTGCTAGCCCCCCGAAACATTATTTTGAAATGAATTACGAATATTAGTGTAGGATTATCTTTATGACTTAATTTAGGCAGAAACCAAATATGACACATAAAGGAGAAAATTAATAAATTAATAAATCAGACCATTAAAATTAAGAATTTCTGAACATCTTATTCTTGGGGCCAGCAGGTGGCATGGTGGTTAAGGGCGCTGGACTCCCACCTGGCCAACCACGGTTTGAGTCTCCACCTGGCTGTTTGCTTTGTCACTTTCTGTCTCTCTGCCCTCCTCTGGTCAAATTAAATAAATGAAAGTTTAAAGAAAATTAAAATAATTCTTAAAAAAAAAATTTCTGAGCATCAAAATTTCAAGCTAACCACAAAGAAAATATTCACAGTATTAGCAATCAAGGAATTGCAAATTAAAAATCACGATAAAGGGACCAGCAGATGGCACAATGGTTACATTGCTGGACTCTCACGTAGTCAACTGCATTTTGAGTCCCAGACCCGGTGGCTTAGAACTCACACCAGGCGCATGTGCATGTGTCCCCAAGATCTGGAGAGGAGAATGGAGGAGAAGGGATTGTGGCATGGCTATCCCACCCTGGGGGGTGATTTGTCACTTTCTAACTCTATCTCTCTTTGTCTCTCTAGAGAGTACATGTGCCCTATAGCAAAAATCTTTCTTTTTTATAATTATTTGTTTGTTATTATTTACTTTTTAATTTGACCAGAGGGAGACAGAGAGAGAAAGGAAAGGTGAGAAAGCAAGCCAGCAGGTCCTGAACTTGAGCCACGGTCGACCATGTGGGAGTCCAGCTCCTTAATCATCATGCCACCTGCAGTCTCCTCAAAAATCTTTCTTAAAAAATTAAAAATAAAAATCAGAATGAAAAATTAATACAACATTGTACAAATGGTTAAAAATTTTAAAGATTGAGAATACTATGTTTTGACAAAAATGTTAAACAACTGGAGATCTCGTGAATTGATAATGGGCATATAAATTGATCAACTTTCGAAAATTTTGGCAGGGACCAGCAGTTAGCGTAATGGCCATGTCGCTGGACTCCCATGTAGTTGACCACAGTTTCAGTCCCGGACCCAGTGGCTTAAACTCACGCAGGGCCATGTGCGTTCATGCCCAAAATCCCAAGAGGAGAAAGGAGAAGGGATTGCGGCATGGCCATCCCCCCAGGAGGTGATTTCTCGCTTTCTGTCTCTCTGTTTCTATCTTCCTGGCGAGCACATGCGCCCTATAGTAAAAACCTCTCCAAAAAAAGAAAATTTGGGCAGAAGCTAGTAAAAACTAAGCAATTCCAGTTATGGATGTATTTACAATAGAAATGAATGCATTAGTCCCTCAAAAGACAGACACAGGAAAGGGCACGTGGCATGGTGGTAAAGGGTGCTGGACTCCCACACTGCTGACCACAGTTCAAGTTCCGAACCTGGTGGCTTGCTTTCTCACCCTGCCCCCCACTTTGTCCCTCTCTGGTCAAATTAAAATAAATAAATGATGTTAAATTAAAAAACAGAAATAATCAAAATCAGCTTTTTTTTTTTTAATGATAGAATAATTTCTTGCACAAAAGAAAGAATGAGAGAAATGAGCAGCCTTCATGGGGTCTGGTCAGTCTTTTTTGGCCCATCAGCTCTTGTACTCTGGGAAAGATGCCAGGCTTGTTTTAGACTGACTAGGTAAGAGATTTGAACCACAGGGCTTTAAAACATCTTGACCAGGTAGAATCCTGGTTCATTAGAGCCCTGCATTACGGTACCACAGAGCTTGTCCCTAGGAAAAGAGGAAAGGAATTAGTAAGAGGTGGAAAAAAATGTTCCCCACATTCTGAAGCCCAGATGCACTGCTGCTAGAGAAACAACAAACACTATTACAGATGCAAAAGGCAATTTTCAATAGAAAATAAGAAATATGTGTTTATTATTAAACAGCACGTTGTAGGGCAGTGTATATAGAAACATTTTTTTAGGCTTCACGTTTAAGGGGGGGAGAGAGCCAGGTGGTAAAACAGACCAACTCCCCCAAGTAATCACACAAACACCTGTCTCCCAAAATAGATAAGCCTAATTCAGAATAACCTTTTCTTCAGAAAGATATGAGTAGTGGGACCAGCAGTTAGCGTAATGGCTATGTCGCTGGACTCCCACGTAGTCGACCGCGGTTCGAGTCCTGGACCCGGTGACTTAACACGCAGGGCCATGTGCGTTCATGCCCAAAATCCCAAGAGGAGAAAGGAGAAGGGATTGCGGCATGGCCATCCCCCCAGGAGGTGATTTCTCGCTTTCTGTCTCTCTGTTTCTATCTTCCTGGCGAGCACATGCGCCCTATAGTAAAAACCTCTCCAAAAAAAGAAAATTTGGGCAGAAGCTAGTAAAAACTAAGCAATTCCAGTTATGGATGTATTTACAATAGAAATGAATGCATTAGTCCCTCAAAAGACAGACACAGGAAAGGGCACGTGGCATGGTGGTAAAGGGTGCTGGACTCCCACACTGCTGACCACAGTTCAAGTTCCGAACCTGGTGGCTTGCTTTCTCACCCTGCCCCCCACTTTGTCCCTCTCTGGTCAAATTAAAATAAATAAATGATGTTAAATTAAAAAACAGAAATAATCAAAATCAGCTTTTTTTTTTTTTAATGATAGAATAATTTCTTGCACAAAAGAAAGAATGAGAGAAATGAGCAGCCTTCATGGGGTCTGGTCAGTCTTTTTTGGCCCATCAGCTCTTGTACTCTGGGAAAGATGCCAGGCTTGTTTTAGACTGACTAGGTAAGAGATTTGAACCACAGGGCTTTAAAACATCTTGACCAGGTAGAATCCTGGTTCATTAGAGCCCTGCATTACGGTACCACAGAGCTTGTCCCTAGGAAAAGAGGAAAGGAATTAGTAAGAGGTGGAAAAAAATGTTCCCCACATTCTGAAGCCCAGATGCACTGCTGCTAGAGAAACAACAAACACTATTACAGATGCAAAAGGCAATTTTCAATAGAAAATAAGAAATATGTGTTTATTATTAAACAGCACGTTGTAGGGCAGTGTATATAGAAACATTTTTTTAGGCTTCACGTTTAAGGGGGGGAGAGAGCCAGGTGGTAAAACAGACCAACTCCCCCAAGTAATCACACAAACACCTGTCTCCCAAAATAGATAAGCCTAATTCAGAATAACCTTTTCTTCAGAAAGATATGAGTAGTGGGACCAGCAGTTAGCGTAATGGCTATGTCGCTGGACTCCCACGTAGTCGACCGCGGTTCGAGTCCTGGACCCGGTGACTTAAACTCACACTGGGCACGTTCATGTGCGTGCGTGCCCAAGATCCCGAGAGGAGAATGGAGGAGAAGGGATTGCAGCGTGGCCATCCCTCCCTGGGGTGTGATTTCCTGCTTTCTGTCTCTCTGTCTCTGTCTGGCGAGCGCACGCGCCTTATAGCAAAAAAAAAACCTCTCCAAAGATATGAGTCGTCTTAATAGAGATCATTGTAAATAGGAGATCACATCGTTTGAGACTAGGCGATTAACCCCTGCTGAGTAATTTCGGTTGCTTTAACTTTAACAAGTGCCAGCTGTCAATTTCTGTTCCCGACCCCCAGTGTCCCTAACTGCTAAGCCAGATGTAGGGGCAGCAAGAAGGCTGGCACCCAGAAAGCCTGCGGCACGAGCTCCAGGCAACGCCGCGCTGATCCCCTTCTCCCAACCCCGCCCAGCCGCGCCGCCCGGACCCGGTGTCCGGGAAGCCCGTGGCCCCGCCCCCTCGGCGTCGGGCCGCCACGTCTCCATGGAAACGACTCCCCTGCAGCGCGGCGGAGAGCACGATGGCGGCGGGGGAGCTGGGGAACTTGGGTGGATACTCCTTCAGGTTTCTGCCTCAGAGAGCTTTCCCGTCTCTGAGCGCTCGGGAGAGCAGCAGTCGGCTCCGCCAGTGGTGAGAGCCTGGGCGGCAGGGCGGGAAGAACCCCCAGGCCACGCGACCAGCCGCCCGACTCTGAGGGAAAGCCGGGAGCCGCCGCAGCTCGAGGCCCGCGCGGGCAGCGAGGGTGGGGCTGGTCGGGTGAGCGCTCCGAGCCGGTGTGACTTTTCCTCCTACTCCAGGTCCATGCTGGGCAGAATCCAGGCGCAAGCGTTCGGGTTTGACCAGACCTTTCAGGCATATCGGAAGGACGATTTCGTTATGGTTGGTACCGGGGCTGGAGCGTTCCCTCAGGTCGGCATAGATCTGGAGAACACGCTGTCCCGTAGTGAGTCCGTTTTCATGGAGTTTCCCCTTTGTTTAAGAAACTAATACATTTCCTGGGAACTAGCAGTTAGCGTAATGGCTATGTCGCTGGATTCCCACGTAGTCGACCGCGGTTCGCGTCCCGGACCCGGTGGCTTAGAACTCATGCCGGGCACCTGTGCGTGCATGCCCAAGATCCACAGAGGAGAATGGAGAAGAAGGGATTGTGGCGTGACCATCCCTCCTGGGGGGTGATTTCTCGCTTTCTGTCTCTACGTCTCTCTGTCTGTCTGGCGAGCGCATGTACCCTATAGTGAAAATCTCTCAAAAACAAAAAAAAAAGAAACTAATACATTTCCTATCGACATAAATTTTTCGTTGAGCTCATCCACTACCTCCAGTATCCTGTCTTACAGAACTTAACTTCTGGAAAATTGCTCTCTTTCTAGAGAATCATTTTTTCTCCTTTTAAGTGTTGTTATCCAGGCTCATCACTGGCTCTACATATTAGATTCAGCTCCAAAATTACTTTTGTTTATTTCTGAAAATCAGATCTTCCCTAAGAACCGGGCTTCAGGCTCTAACAGTATTTCTGATTGAGGAATTTTACACAAAACACGTTTTAAGCATTGGCATAGTAGTTGGAATGTCTTCTGCTGCAGGTAGCTGTCGTACTTTGAGGGGGTGAAACTCACTCGAATGAGTGAGTTGTGGTGTGTTCTTTAAAGTTTAGTCCCATTATTTTACATTGCCAGAGGGCACCTATCTCTCAGAGAGAGCCAGACGGAGAGAAAGCAGACTCCACCGTGGAGCATATTCACACTACAATCCTTTCTCCATTTCTCCATCCTGTTGGGATTTTATGCACATGGGCTTGTGTTTTTCAAGTCTCCCAGAACAGGATTCAAACCTAGGGCAGCCATGTGAGATCTGGTTCCTTTAGCCACTAGACCAAGGTCTGGCACACTCATTTATTAATTTATGTTTTAAAGACAATGATCAGGAGACCAGATGGTGGTATGGTGGTTAAGGCAGTTGTATCCCACATGACTGACTGTGGGGTTGGAGTCCACCCTGTTGTTTGAAAAACACTGGGCACATGTGTACTGCACACTTCTCAAATCCCTACAGGATGGAGAAATCGAGGACAAGGGATGTGGCATGACCATTCCCCATTAGAAGGTGTTGTGTCTCTGTCTCTGGCAAGCATATGTGCCCTCTGGCAATTGGGAAAAAAAGTCTTGCCAGTGACATGCTAGAACTATTGGGTGTTTCTGATGTTTTTCTCTGCAAAAATGCATCATGACTTCCTGGTGACCTAAAAGTTCAGGGAGGTTTGACTGCTAAACTTTCAGGAATCCTTGTTTGCTGGTTGTTTAACTATTGTCAACCTGAAATCCACCACAGATGTTGGCAAATGCCAACAAATGTGGGCTTTTGGGGGAGGCAGGGGGCACCACTATTAATCACTTCACCATATAGGTATACGCCTTTGCCCGCTAACTTCTGCTTACTTTCAAATCTAAAGCTAAATGTTCTTTCTACATTAACCTTTCTTCACACTGTCAGATTAGATCTGCCTTTTATGTACTCTGACACCACCCTGCACTTCCTTGTAACACTCATGGCATTTTACTCTTTCTTTTTAGCCTATAAATTTCATGAGCATAGGCATGTGACCTCTGGATTTTGGGTTTAGAAAGTCAAGAGAACTTTCATTTAAGTGATAGGAGTAGGAACGAGATGCAGAGAAATTAATGGTAGAGAAGTAAGACAGCTTAGATTCCTCTTTCAGAAGTGACTTAGGGGCCAGCCTTTGGCCTGTTGGCTAAGGGATCTGGATCCTACATGGCCCACTGTGCAATCCAAGATGCAACATCTTGAAAGACACACTGAGTGTATGGGCATGCATGTTCAGAATCCCAAAAGAAAGGAAAAATGGAGAGGGATTGTAGTATGATCTTTCCTCTTGGGGGTTGCTTTCTCTCTCTCCTGTCTCTCCTTCTCTGTCTCTCTTTAGGGAGTGCACATGCCTTCTGGCAAATTAAAATAAAAAGGTATTTGAGAATGATCACTTGAAGGGAATATTGAAAAAAGAAAAAGACTAACAAGAAAGTACAATTCAGGGACCAGCAGTTGGCATAATGGCTGTTGCCGGACTCCTATGTAGTCCACAATAGTTCGAGTCCTGGACCTGGTGGTTTAAACTCATGCCGGACGTGTGTACGTGCATGCCCAAGATCCCGAGAGGAGAATGGAGGAAAAGGGATTGCGGTGTGACCATACCAAGAGGTGATTTCTCGCTTTCTGTCTCTCTCTCTGGCGAGCGCACACGCCCTATAGCTAAAAAACTCTCAAAAAATAAATAAATAAAAAGAATTCATACAAAGAATCAACAGTTTCTCTCTATCCCAATCTATCCTGTCCTACCTTCTCAACCCTTGTCTTCCTACAAGTCTGCAACTACCACTTATGTTGCCAAGTGGTTTAAAATATAGTCTAACAGGGAACCAGCAGTTAGCGTAATGGCTATGTCGCTGGACTCCCACGCAGTCGACCACGGTTCGTGTTCCGGACCCAGTGGCTTAAAACTCACGCCAGGCGCGTGTGCGTGCGTGCCCAAGATCCCGAGAGGAGAATGGAGGAGAAGGGATTGCGGCGTGACCATCCCCCTGGGGGGTGATTTCTCGCTTTCTGTCTCTATGTCTCTCTCTGTCTGTCTGGCGAGCGCACGCGCCCTACAGTGAAAATCTCTCAAAAAATATATATATATAGTCTAACATACCTTTTTGGTGCTAATATAAACGTATAGAGATTTTATTTTATTGTGTTTTTCACATGCTACTGCAAAACTGTCCTTTTTTATTAAATCATCAGTGGACATATGCACTCACCAGAGAGAGAGGGAGGATAAAGCACCCCTCAATGGGGTGTGGTCACCCACAATCCCTTCACCATCTGTCCATCCTGTCGTGATTTTGGGCATACGCATGTGTCTAGTGTCTTTTTCAAGTCACATGGCTGACTCAAACTGCAATTGGCCATGGGGGAATCCAGCTCCCTTGACCATTAAGCTACAAGGCTGGCACTTAAACTACCCCTTTTTTGATTGAAAATATTTATAGTTTTCTCTCGAATTCAGTAAATATCCATTTAAAGGATGTTTATTGAGGAGCTGCTATATGCCAGGTGCTGTTCTAACCCCTGGGGATACCATAGTGAATAAGAAAAACAAGGCCCCTACTGTTTGAGATCTTCCATTTTATCCTAAAATTTTCTTTCCAGTAGCTGTGTACTGTCTGTATAGATATGCTGGTGTTTATTTTTTAGGGTTTTTTTTTTTTTTTAGTTTATTTCTTTCATGATAGAAGTAAGTACCCTTATCACATTTTGTGTCACCTCCACTCCCCCAAATCTTCCAAGTCAACTAGGATCATGGGCCTGATTTGTATAGCTCAGCTGAATAAAGCTGTGCCATCTTTCACATCGATCCACCACTCACCACTGTACCACCAAACAGGCCAATGTGTGCTGTATGTTATTCTACCATTCTTTTGTACATTGAAGTTGTGTTCAAGCATTTTTTTGAGAGATTTTTGCTATAGGGTGTATGCGCTCACCAGAGAGACAGAGAGACAGAAAGTGAGAAATCACCCCTGGGGGGATGACCTCACCCCAATCCGGTCTCCTCCATTTTCCTCTTGGGATTTTGGGCACACATGCACACATGTCTGTTGTGAGTTTTAAGCTGCTAGGTCTGGGAATCTAGCGCTGGTTGACTGTGGGAGCCCAGCAACATAACCGTTATGTCATGTGCTGGTCCCTGTCCCTGTTTTCAAGTTTTGACTCTACAAACAGTACTTCTTTTTTGGAGAGGTTTTTGCTATAGGGCGTGTGTGCTCGCCAGACAGACAGTGACAGAGAGACAGGAAGCGAGAAATCACCCGCCCCCCAGTGGGTGGCCACACCGCAGTCCCTTCTCCATTCTCCTCTCGGGATCTTGGGCACATATGCTTACGTGCCCGGTGTGAGTTTTAAGCCACCAGGCCCGGGACTCGAACCACAGTTGACTACATGGGAGTCCAGCAACACAGCCATTACGCTAACTGCTGGTCCCAAGTAATTTTTTTTTTTTTTTGAGAGAGAGATTTTTGCTATAGAGTGCATGTGCTACCAGAGAGAAAGAAAGCAAAAAATCACCCCCAAAGGGGAATGGCACAATCCCTTCTATTCTAGTCTCCTCTCTTAGTTCAGGCATACACACACACACATACCCAGCATGAATTGTTGGTTTGTTTTTGTTTTGTTTTGGTTTTTTTTGAGAGGTTTTTGCTATAGGGCATGTGCACTTGCCAAAAAGAGACAGAGAGAGACAGAGAGACAAAAAGTGAGAAATCACCTCCCAGGAGAGATGGCCACACCGCAGTCACTTCTTCTCCATTCTCTTCTTGGGATCTTGGGCATGCACACACACACGCTCAGCGTGGGTTTAAGCGACTGGGTCCCAGACTCAAACCGTGGTCGACTACATGAGAGTCCAGTGGCATAATCATTACACCATCTGCTGGTCCCCCAGTGTGAATTTTTTTTTTTTTTTGAGAGGTTTTTGCTATAGGGCGCATGCGCTCACCAGACAGACAGAGAGAGACATAGAGACAGCGAGAAATCACCCCCCAGAGGGGATGGTCATGCCACAATCCCTTCTCCTCCATTCTCCTCTTGGGATCTTGGGCACGCACGCACATGTGCCCGGAGTGAGTTTTAAGCCACTGGGTCCAGAACTCGAACCGCAGTCGACTACATGGGAATCCAGCGACATAGCCATTACACTAACTGCTGGTTCCCCCCCCAGTGTGAATTTTTAAACCACCAGATCTGGGACTCAAACTGTGGTCAACTATGTAGGAGTCCAGTAACATAACCATTATGTTATCTGCTGGTCCCCAAACAGTACTATTTTTAAAACCTTCTTATACATTTATACTTAAGCCATATCTACTTGTGATTTCAGAACCCCAAATAAGAATTTGTTGGATAAGACGTGTTTTTCTTATTGGTATTTGATCATGTTAGTTTCCTCAATATCTGTAAAGGTAGACTCTTCTGCTAGCAGTTGTGAGAGTGCTTATTTTCTAGTACACTCACCGAAAGTTAGCAGGGTTTTGGATCTTGGTAATATAATGAGTAAAAGTGGTATCTTCTGAGGGTTTTTTTCTTACTTTCTTTCACTGCTCTTGAGGTCAAGCTTTTTTCCGTGAGTTTATTAACTTTTTTTTTTTTAATTTTGCTATAGAACATATACACTCACTAGAGAGAAAAAGAAAATGAAAAGGCATTCCCCAGGGGAATGACCATACTGCAGTCCCTTCTCCAATTTTTCTCGGGATATTAACCATTGAGGATTTCGTCTCCCTTCTCCTTTTTATCCCATTTGTTGCAAATATTTTCTCTCAGCCTATTGTTTTTCTTTTATTTATTGCTCATTCCAAACATTGTTAGTTTTTCAGGGGGAGTGGGAAGGGACAGTGAGGAGCTACTCAGCACCATTTGAATGTCCATGTAATTTGGGGATAATTTCCATACTTTTTCAGGACATCCACGTGAACCCCCCACCCCCCCAAAGTACAAAGAACTCCCTTGAATTCAGAGCATAAGCCTAGGGCCTTGGACCACCAATCAAACTAATGTAAGACTGGGATTTTGAAGTGAGTAGTTTAAGGAGGGAGGTGCACACAGAATTTATTTCACTGGCAAAAAATGGTGGCAGAGGCATCTGACTTTCAGGGCAGGCAGTCCTGGCGTAGCGGTGGCCTTGTTAGAAGTGATGGTGCTATCCAAGGTCATACAACCTTGAATGTGCCTGATCTCGGAAGCTAAGCAGGGCTGTGCTTGGTAAGTACTTGGACAGGGGAATGGGGTGAGGGTAGCGTCCTTCAGTGCTTGATGGGACTACAGCAAGGGGGACAGTTTCCTCATCAGGGCAGTTTATGTGTGAGTTTGGATCCTTTCCAGGGTTCAGCCTTCAGCACTGTGCCACCTGAAAACGTTGTGGACTGTCGGAGATGCTTTAAACACAATTTTCTTCCTTTTCAGCCAGATTCAGCTGCTGGTGCTTAAAACTAAAACTCTTGATTATTTTGTTGTATTTTGCCATACAGAAAATTTTCATTTTTTAGGCAGTCAGATCTTTGCCTGTTGACTAATTAAGATGACAAAGGGACTAAGAAAGTGGTACAGTGGTGATGCAACCAAACCCACATGGGAAAGGTACTCAGTTCAGGTCCGAAGGCCTCTGAGTATACTGAGTTCATGAGTTCCTGTGTTGTGGGCTGGCTGAGACTGGAAGTGGATTGCGGTGTGGGACCCTGTTGGGGGAATCCTTAATTCTCACTCTATCTCTGTCTCTGTCATGAAAGAAATAACTATATTTTAAAATTTGACAGTTACCTTTAGATTTATATCTAGCATGCTAGTGCTTACCAAGATAGTTAATTCAGGAAACAAGATTAAAGGATAATAAAGTTTGCAAACATGATATGCCCACCTAAGTTTTACTATAAGTCATTATTTTCTGTTTGTTAAATTACATCCCAATGACCTCTGTACTTGGGCACCTAATGTTGTTCATACTATTCCAACTTGAATGCTACCAAACTCCTTTTCTTTATAAAACATTTATTTTTTAAGTTATTTATTTATTTAATTCCATTTGTTAATATTTTTTAATTTGACCAGAAAGAGACAGAGAGAGAGAAAGGTAAAGCGAGAAAGTAAGCCACCAGGTCCATGACGTGAACCACGTTCAGCCATGTAGGAGTCCAGTGCCTCAACCACCCAAGCCACCTGCCAGCCTCTATAAGACATTTATTAATTAGACATTTACCAATCCAAAATTGCCTTTTCTCCCTAATTTAAATTAAATGAGATTTTACTATAGTTTGGGATTTTAGACTTTAACTTTTATTCTCATTTATAATAAAGCGTCTAACTTGTTCCCCTCAAATTTATGTTTTAGGCTTTTTTCAAAGACCCAAATGTTATTTCCAATTTGAAGTTACTTTCAGACTCTTCTAGACAGTGGATTACATTAGGTAAATAAATCTTATTTTCATCTTTTTAGGTGACAATTTTGCTGTTATAACAAAATTTTTCCTAGGAGATTTTTATTATTAAAATACAAATTATGGATAATGAAGTCTGTGTTTGATAACATCGATGTGAATTTTGGGATCAGTTCCCAACCTTGTGGTCAAGGGAGCCAGATTCTACATGATCGACTGTGTGGTTCAACTCCCAGCCCTGGTGACTTGAAAAACACACCAGTCACGTGTGTGGGTGGCCCAAATTCTGGCAGGATGGAGAAATGGAAAGAAGGGATTGTGGCATGACCACACGCCCCTGGAGGGTGCTTCTCTTCTTTCTTTCTATCTCTCTCTGACAAACACATACACTCTCTTACAATAAAACAAACAAAACAAAACAAAACAAAAACAACATGGACACGTTGTGCATGTCCTGCCCTGCATTTCTTTGGGGAATCTACTGCTATTATAGTGGTTTAGCACACAAGAGCAATTTTCCTTTATATTCATTTGGGAAGTTATTAGGTTGTTGGGAAAGTCATGACATATTTTTTCTGTTTTCTATACAAATATGCATAATGACTTTCCTGACAACCTAATACTGTTTTTTTTCTTAATTTAACTTCATTTGTTTTACTTATTTTTATTCATTTATTTTAATTTGACCAGAGAGGGACAGAGTGAGAGAAAGAGAGAGAAAGTGAGAAAGCAAGCCGCCAGGTCCGAGTCTTGAACCATGGTTGGCCATGTGGGAGTCTAGGACCCTTAAACACCATGCCACCATGCCACCTGCCAGCGCCAACCTAATACTGTTGTAAACTTTCCATGCAGTCTGTTAAGTCCAAAGAATGTCAAGATGAATGAAAGAGGGAACCAGCAGTTAGCGTAATGGCTATGTTGCTGGACTCCCACGTAGTCGACCACAGTTCGCGTCCCGGACCCGGTGGCTTAAAACTCACACCGGGCACGTGTGCGTGCATGCCCAAGATCCCGAGAGGAGAATGGAGGAGAAGGGATTGCAGTGTGACTATCCTCCCTGGGGTGTGATTTCTCGCTTTCTGTCTCTATGTCTCTCTCTGCCTGTCTGGCGAGCGCACGCACCCTATAGCAAAAAACCTCTCAAAAAAAAAAAAAGATGAAAGAGGCCTATATTCAAAGAGCTATGGATATGTTAAAATGTGTGTGTGTGTGTGTGTGTGTGTGTGTGTGTGTATCGTGTAATGTATCAAAGGTGCTGCCATAGAAGAGGTCATAAGAGAAGAGGAGTGGTCAGTTCTACCCAGATGGAAGGGGTTAGGAAAGAGTCTGCTGATACGGGGTTCATTGGACAAAATCTCAGTTGCAGTAGGGGCATAGATTTATGTCAGAGGATCAGCCACTATAGAACTTTTTTTTGTTTAATTTTGCTAGAGGCTATGTGCACTCAGAGGAGAGTGAGACAGAGAAAGTGAGAAAGTACCCCCCTTCTCCCATGGGGAATGGTCACACCGTAATCCCTTCTCCATCTCTCCCTGCTTTTAGGATTTGGGGCATATAAGCACATGTGCCTGGAATGTTTCTCATGTCACCAGGCCCAGAATTTGAACTACGCAATTGGTCATGTAGGTGGGATCCAGCTGCCTTCACCACCACACCACAGGCCGGCCAGAATATTCTTTTTAAATAGTGAAAATATTAAACCATGGGGTGAAAATATTAAGCCATCGAGAGTGTTAACATTTAAAAGGACAATGTTGTATAGGAGGTATATTCATAATACAATGGCTCTTCAGAAAGTTCATGGAAAATATGTGTTAAGAAAAATCTATGCGGGACCAGCAGGTGGCGTGGTGGTTAAGGCGCTGGACACTCCCACATGGCCGACCAGGGTTCGAGTCCTGGACCTGGTGGCTTGCTTTCTCACTTCCTCTCTCTCTCTTACTGTCACCCTCTGTCTCTCTCTGGTCAAAAAAAAAAAAAAATCAATGAATGAATAAATAAAATATAAAATAAATAGTTACTTTTTTTTTTGGAGAGGTTTTTGCTATAGGGCATGTGCGCTCGCCAGACAGATGGAGAGAGACAGAGAGATAGAAAGCGAGAAATCACCCCCCAGGGGGGATGGCCACGCTGCAATCCCTTCTCCATTCTCCTCTCAGGATCTTGGGTGCACACGCGCCCTGCGTAAGTTTAAGCCACCAGGTCCAGGACTCGAACCGCGGCGACTATGTGGGAGTCCAGCGACATAGCTATTACGCTAACTGCTGGTCCCATAAATAATTACTTTTTAAAAAAATCTATGTATTGGGTTGGCTCTGTGGCCTAGTGATTAAGGGAGCCAGATGCTGCATGGCTCACTGAGCAATTCAAATTTCTACCCAAACAGCTTGAAAAACATGCCAGGTATGTGTGCATGTTTTTATTTCTTCCATGAGAGAGAGAAAGAAGTACTCACAACATTGTCTGTGTGCCACAATCCACCCAAATCTCAGCCAGCCCAGATAACAGGTGCATGCATGCCCAGGGTGCTCTGGGAGGTCCTGGAACACGAGCCCAAGACTTAGGTGTATCCAATTGTATTACCACTATACCACTACCTGTCCCTAAACTCAATTTCATTTTCCATGAACTTTATGAAGTCCTCTTATCATTGAAACAGCCAGAAATTTTTCAAGAAAATTATCTGAACATTTAACAACGTTAACTTAAATCTCTTAAATAAACTTTAAGGAAGAAATCAGAGTTAATGAAAGACTATTTTGAAAAAAAGTCATGACATCATATTTTAAATTTTAGGTCATAGTCATGTAACACTAGAACAAATAAAAGCTTCAGTTATTTTAGAAGAATCTGGTTGATAATACGAATTTGTACTAAAAAAGTGCAAATTGAGTGCCAGCTCACCACGGTGTAGTGGTTAACGTGTCTGAATTTCACATGTCCAGCTACATGGTTTGAATCCTGGACCTGGCAGCTTAAAGAAATAACACGACGGGCTTGCAGGTGGTGTGTTGGTTATGGGTGCTGGATTCCCACATGGCCGAGAGCAGATCGAGTCCTGGACCTGGCGGCTTGCTTTCTCACTTTCTCTCCCTCTTCCTCATTCTGTCACTCTCTGGTCAAATTAAAATAAATAAATAATAAAGTTAACTAATTAAAAAAAAAAATGTAGTACGTACATGTGTTTGTGTGCCTAAAATCCTGAGAAGAGAAGAGATGGTGATGTGGCCATGTAGGAAGTGCTTTCTCACTTTCTCTCTGTGTGTCTCAGGACAGCATATGCACCCCTGGCAAATGTTTAAAAAGGAAAGAAAGAAAATGCAAATCATTGGTTTTCTCGTTTTTGTTTTTGTTTTGCTATGGGGGGTGCATGTGCTCCTAGGAGAGAAACAGAGCAGGGGAGTAAATAAGAAATCACCCTCACAATGGGGATGGCCATACTGCAATCCCCTTTCCATTCTCCTCTCAGGATTTTTGGGCACATATGCACACATGCCCATCATGATTTTCAAGCTGCCAGATCCAGGACTTGAAAGAACTGAGCAGTCAGCTCTGAGATCTAGCCACCCTAACCTCTACCAGCTACTGGCCTCTCAAATTGATTTTTAATTAGATGGTTTTGGGTAGATTATTACATTGTATTTCAACGGAATTCTAGCAGCTTACATAAAAGTAACTTAAAGTGTTGGTCAAGAACAAGATTATAGGGAGCAAGCAGGTGGCACGGAGGTTAAGGCTTCTGGATCCCATATTACTGCCTGTTATCATTGGAGTCCCAGACTATTGGCTTGAAAAACACACCAGGCGGGGCCAGCAGGTGGCATGGTAGTTAAGGCACTGGACTCCCACGTAGCCAGAGTAAAAAACAAAAACAAAAGAAACAAGATTACAAAATTCATAATAATAGATTTACTAAGTCATATCACACATTTTGGCTAAAAGCTACTGTAAAATTTATAGAGCAAAAAGCTAATACATGGGGGACCAGCAGGTGGTGTGGTGGTTAAGGCACTGGACACTCCCACATGGCTGACCACAGTTCAAGTCCTGTCCCTTGTCCCTTACTTTTTCTCTCCCCTCTCTCTCTCTGTGTCTCTCTGGTCAAATTAAAATGAATGAATAAATAAATAAATCTTAAAAAAAAACCTGATACAATATGATCTTCAATCTGCTACAAAATTAAACTGAATGAGCAAATACATTAACAAAGTCAGAATTTTCAAAAGGAAAAGATCAGAATAATTTATCAAAGTGGTTATAAAACATGTTTATAGGGACCAGCAGTTGGCGTAATGGCTATGTCACTGGACTCCCACGTAGTTGACCATGGTTCGAGTTCTGGAACCAGTGGCTTAAACTCACACCAGGCACATGTGCATGTATGCCCAAGATCCCGAGAGAATGGAGGAGAAGGGATTGCGGTGTGGCCAACCCCCCCCCCCTTGGGGGGTGATTTCTCACGGTTTGTCTCTCTGTCTCTGTCTTTCTGGTGAATGCATGTGCCCTATAGCAAAAACCTCTCCAAAAAAAAAAGTATATTCTGCAGAGAACACTGAAGATGTGGCTGAACAACCATTTGATAAAGGGATAATGGGTATAACTCAAAAGTTAGTAATTTCAGCAGAAGTCAGGAATAGAGATGGGATTTTACCAACAAAAACACTGCCAGTTTGAACTAAAAGGACCAGGAAAAACAAGATGATATGAAGGAAGGCTTTAAAGTTGATGCTTGAATGAGTTAGTTAAAGCTTTCCTAGCTGTTGAACTGGAATAAATGTATTTTGTGTGTGAAAAGGACAATAATTTGGGAACTAGGAGTAAAATGCTATGGTCTCAATTATGATCCCCCAAATTCTTATTTTGGTTTTTGGGTGTTTTTTATTTTTTGAGAGGTTTTTTTGTTTGTTTTTGTTTGTTTGTTTCCTATAGGGTTCATGCTCTCACCAGAGAGGCAGAGAGAGAGAGAAAATGAGAAATCACCCCCTGGGAGGATGGCACACACACTATCACATGTCCTCTATTCTCTTGGGATTTGGGGCACACACACACACACACACACACACACACACACACACCCAGTCTGAGTGTCAAGCTGCTGAGTCTGGAACTCAGACCGCAATCGGCCATGTCGGAGTCCAGTGACTTAATCAATATGCTACCTGCTGACCCCAAAACTCTTATTTTGAAGTCTTCTGACCCTACCTACCGCAGTCACCTTCTCTAACCCTAATTACTTTTTAGCTCATCATGAAATACTGTCACTTTGTGGGTTAAGATTTCAACATAAGAATTTTGAGGTGAAACAGTTCATTCTGTATGAATGAATGCTATTTTCATGCCTCAGATTAAGTGGTTTGAATTTAATTTCCTTTCCTCACCATCTAAACTCTCCTGCTGCTCCCCAAATCAGAACTAGGGTAGATATATCAAAATGGCATGTTGCCCAATATCAGAACTTTCTGTGGCCACTGACCAATCTTCCAAAACTGTCAGGTTCTACCTTGCTCTGTTTCTTTGGTCTTGGAACATTGTTCAACATACATTATCATTTTCTACACCCTTCTTTTTACTTTATATAATCACCTAGAAGACACTGCCTCTGAAGCAGAAGAAACTTCTCTCAGCAGCATAGGTTTCTAAATGACTGAGGCATACACAGATCTGGCTCCTGGCATCCTTGCCTCCATATTAGCCTAGCTCAGGATCATAATGTAGAACAAGTTCTAGCATGGTGGACAGCCAAAATAAGAAGTTCAAATAATTGCCAATATGACTTACTCCTTTTAAGTACAAGCTACTTCACCACGTTTTCAGCAAATACATCCAGGGAGGGATATACCAAGGCCTACCGCACCTAGGTCTATAATCTCCTTAGAACTTCATACAGAAGAATTCTACCACCCCATTATATCTGACTAATCGATGTGTATGTGTCTATCTATGAGAGAGAGAGATTAAGTGACTAAGGTAATAATAGAAATAGTCACTTTGATTTTTATGTTTGTGGTTTAATAGAACCCCTGATACCAGAAAAATCTATTGCTGAAAGATACATCCAGGAAATACGTGTGGCGTAGGGGAGAGATGGGGTTGGGGAAAGAACTAAAGCTACAACAGAAAAACAAAATGCCAATATTTCAAAATTTTAAAATTCTGAACTTGTGATAGCTTGATTATGGCTTGGTTTGAAATTTGCCTTGATTTGGAAAACTTTTAATAATACTGTAAATGAAATCACAAGGTTGAATTTTTTTAAAGAATTATTTATTTAGTTAATTCTATTTGTTCTTCTTTTTTTTTTCTTTTTTTTTTTTAATTTGACCAGATATAGACAGAGAGAGAGAGAAAGGGAAATTGAGAAAGCAACCTACCAGGTCTGGGACTCGAACCACTGTTGGCCATGTGGGGAATCCAGTGCCTTTAACCACCATGGCACCCTCCAGCTCCAAGGTTGCAATTTTTAAATGGAGAGAAAATGCTTTCAAGATATCTTTAAAACTTTATAAGTACTCATTAATTAAAATTTTTGTAATATGGGGACCAGCAGGTGACGTGGTGGTTAAGGGGCTGGACACTCCCACATGGCCAACCATGGTACAAGTCCTGGACCTGGTGGCTTACTTTCTCACTTTTCCTCTCTCTCTCTCTCTCTCTGTCTCTCTCTGGTCAAATTAAAATAAATGAATGAATAAATAAAATTAAATAATTCTTAAAAAAATTTGTAATATGAATGATAAAACTTGAGCATAATACAGATTCAGAATCCTACAAAGCACTTCCTATGCTTCTATAGGCCATTCTGATATATGTATTAAAAATAGTCTAAGAGGAACCAGTGGGTGGCATGGTGGTTAGGCACTGGATACTCCCACATGGCCGACCATGGTTCAAGTCCTGGACCTGGTGGCTTGCTTCCTCACTTTTCCTCTCTTTCTCACTGGTCAAATTAAAATAAATGAATGAATAAGTAAAATTAAATAATTCTCTTTTTTTTTGAGACAGAGATTTTTGCCATAAGGTACATGTGCTTGCCAGACAAAGAGAGATAGAGACACAGAAAGCGAGAAATCACCCCCCGGGGGGATGGCCATGCCGCAATCCCTTCTCCTCCATTCTCCTCTTGGGATCTTAGGCACACATGCACACGTGCCCGGCGTGAGTTTTAAGCCACCAGGTCGGGGACACGAACTGCGGTCGGCTACATGGGAATCCAGCGACATAGCCATTACTCTAACTGCTGGTCCCCAAAAATTCTTTTAAAAAAATAATCTAAGAACCCCTACTACACACAAAAATTTATTTTCAAGTATTCTATAATTTATATCCATCTAGTCAGGAAATGGTGAGATTTTTTTAAGCTTTTAATGGTTGATAAAAAATGCTACAACATGATAAAATCCTGAACTAATGTTTCTTTTAAATACATCAAAATATGTCATATTTGGTTACATCTTAGAATCTCTATATAGTCGGGGCAGGCAGATGATGTGGTGGTTAAGATATTGGACTCCGGGACCAGCACTTAGCGTAATGGCTATGTCGCTGGGCTCCCACATAGTCGACCGCGGTTCGAGTCCCGGACCCAGTGGCTTAAACTCATGCTGGGCACATTTGCGTACGTGCCCAAGATCCCGAGAGGAGAATGGAGAAGGGATTGCGGCATGACCATCCCCTCTGGGGGGTGATTTCTCACTTTCTATCTCTCTGTCTCTCTCTGTCTGTCTGGCGAACGCACGCGCCCTATAGCAAAAAACTCTCAAAAAAAAAAGAAAGAAAGAAAAAGATATTGGACTCCCACATGGTCCACCATGGTTCAACTCCCAGACCTGGAGGCTTGCTTTTTTGCTTTTCCTCTCTCACTCTCTCTGATCAGTGTATGTGTCCTATGGCACATTTTAAAATAATAATAATAATAAATAAAATTAAATAATACTTTTAAAAATAAAGAATCTCTGTATAGTGATTTATTTTAGAAAAACTGAGAATTTTGTTTTTTAAATATGCCAGAAGGGAGCCAGCAGGTGGCATGGTGGTTGAGGGGCTGAACTTCCATATGGCTGACCGTGGTTTGAGTCTTGGACCCAGTAACTTGCTCTCTCACTTTCCCTATCTCTCTGTCCCTCTCTCTCTCTCTCTCTCTCTGGTCAAATTAAAGAATAATAATGATAATCAAAAATAAAATAAAATTGTTTTTTAAAAAGTTGCCAGAGGGAAATATACATTTGTCAGAGAGAAAAACAGAGAGAGAGAAAAAGCAAGAAAGCATCCCCTCCATGGTGAATAGTCATGCAACAGTCCCTTCTCCTTGGTCTCTCCTTTCAAGATTCAGGGTGCACGCGCACACACACACACACACACACACACACACCCCAAACCTCTCTCAGCAACTGGGGTGTGGAACTCAAACTTAGTGGCCCTGTGTGATCTAGCTGTCACAGGCTGGTCCCCTAAATTAATATTTATATTTCTATTATTTATGTCTTTTTCCAGGTACTGATGTGAAAAAAATTGAAGCTACCGCTGTCCCTTGCACACAGCTTTCAATGTCCTTTTTTCATCGATTATATGATGAAAATATTGTACGAGACAGTGGACATATTGTTAAGTGTTTAGACTTTTTTTGTGATCCATTTCTCATTTCTGATGAGTTGCGAAAAGTAAGTACAGAATTTTAAAATTCTGCAGTGAAGTTATATTTCAGAACATGCAAAATACTATAAATTGTTGCCTGCTTAAAACATAAAATATGGGGCCATCAGATGGCATGGAGGTTAAGGTAGCAGGATCTCACATGGTCGACTTGACGGTTCAAATCTCTAAACAAGTGTCTTGAAAAATACACAGAGTATATGCGTCCCAAATCCCAATAAGAGTGGCCATCCTCCATGTGGGGTACTTTTTCACTTTCCCATATCTCTGTTTCTGACTTTGGGAAGTGCATGTAACCTATAGGAAAAATATCTTAAAAACCTTATCAAATATGTGTTGTTAATAAATAATGATCATGGGGACCAGCAGGTGGCGTGATGGTAGAGGCGCTGAACACTCCCACCTGGCCAACTACAGTTTGAGTCCCAAACCTGGAGGCTTGCTTTCTCATTTTATCTCCCTGTCTCTCTCTGGTCAAATTAAAAAATTAAAAATAAATGAATAAATAAAGTTCAATAAATAATTTAAATAAATAAAGATCAGAAATAATCATTACATTGGTAGATTTCTTTTGGGATGGCAATTTTACTGTCAATTGTGCATTTTAGTAGTTCTTAACTCAGTGCTACTAACATCTGATGGATAGAAATGATATTCATCATCATGTACCTCATAGGGCAGTTCCTTGCAGTGGTTATCTGGCCCAAATTGCCAGTGGTGCAAAAGTAGAGAAACCCATGGGGGACAATCAGGTGGTGTAATGGCTATGTCACTGAACTCCCATGTAGTTGACTGCAGTTCGAGTCCTGGACCCAGTGGCTTAAACTCACACCAGGCACGTGTGCATACATGCCCAAGATCCCAAGAAGAGAGTAGAGGAGAAGGGATTGTGGCATGTCCATCCCCCCTGGGGGGGTGATTTCTCACTTTCTGTCCCTCTCTCTGGTGAGTGCATGCGCCTATAGCAAAAACCTCTCCAAAAAAAATGTAGAGAAACCCTGACCTGTCTAATTAATAACCATTTTTCTTTAATATGGAGCCCTTAACATACCAAGTTAGGATTAAAAACATCCCTAGATTAAAAGAATCTTTGTCTCTCATTGCTGAGATCAACAGTGGGGTGTGATGCTGGACTAAGGCTCATGTGCTGGATGCTTGACACTGTTTGTTGGCAGTCTGGCCACATGGAATGCTCTGATTCATTTCCCAGCCCACCCCCAAAAGCTAGGTGCAGTGGTGCGTCCCAGTAGTCCCAGTGACTTGGGAGGCTTAGGCAAACTAAACCGTGAGTTAAGTTTGGGGAACATAGCGAGACCCTGTCTGAAAGAGCCAGGTATAGTGATGCCCACCTGTGGTCCCAGCTACTCAAGAAACTTAAGGAGGATTATAACACAGGGGGACCCTGTCTGAATCACTATACACACACACACACACATCACAGAAAAATCCTTTTAAATTCCATTGGTGGACCAGCAAGTGGCATGGTGGTTAAGGCACTGGACTCTCACATGGCCAAACTCTCAGTTCAAGTTTTGGACCTGGTGGCTTGCTTCTTCACTTTCCCTTTCTCTGTTTCTCTCCAATCAAATTAGAAAATAAATAATAAGGGACAAATAGATGGTGTAATGGTTATGTCACTGGACTCCCATGTAGTCAACCATGGTTCAAGTCCCAAGCCTGACAGTTTGAAACTCAAGGTATGCTGTTGTACATGCATGCCTAGAATCCTGAGATGAGCATGGAGAAGGGATTGCAGAGTGATCATCCTCCTTCGGGATGAGTTCTCACTTTCTGTGTCTCTGTCTCTCTGGTAAACACACAGACCCTATAGCAAAAATCTCTAATAATAATAATAATAATAACAAATGTAAATAAATAATTCTAAAAAAAAAAGTCATCGATGGGGTCAGCAGGTGGCGTAATGGTTAAGGTGTTGGATTCCCACATGGCGGATTGCTCTGCAACCCTGGTGGCATGCTTTCTTTCTCTCTGGTGAACATGTGTGACCTACAGCAAGTTAAATAATGATAATGAATAAAATATTTTTTTAATTATCTATTAGTGTGGCTGTTTTTGTAGAACTGATGGTCAGTTACCTGATATTAGAGTTAAGTGACGAGATCCTCATAAAAAGAATTTGTTTTTCAACAGACTGTGCAGAACTGTCTGTTGCCTGTCTTGTCTGCTGTGAATAGAACCTCTATTCGTGAAGTGCTGGAACTCTTTTCTGCTAGTTGTGCATATGTTTTGCTCTTGTGTTCTTTGCCACTCTGTGGCAACAGAGAGGGTTTTTAACTTTAACTTGGTTGATTTCTGACTGAAAGAAAAAAAAAAAAAAAAAAAAAAAAAAACCCTTCTAGCTTTAGCCAGAATGAAAAAGGGCCGACGTTGTGTAGCAGTCCAGATGCTGTTGGCACACTGTAGCACTAGTCCTGATAATGACCGCATTCGTGACTGCTGCTTAGGAGCTGGGCTCCTCAACCACCGAATACCTACAGCCAAAGAGCTCCGAATGCGAATGATCTGTGGAACATTTTAACATCCTTTCCAAAAGTGAAGCTATTGTATTTTCAAAAAAGTACACAACCTAATGAGTTTAATGTATGAGAGTGTTAATGTAAGGAATGTGTTTACTGCTTATTTCTGAATGCTTTTTTCACCCTCATGTTAAGTCTGACCTTCAGGTAGCTGCAAACATGGTTTTTAATAGCACATCATTTCCTTGCAGAGAGGGAGGGATGAAGGAAGGGAGAGAGGGAGGGACGTGCCTGCGTTTGTGAGGCACACCCAGAGCGCAGTAAAATGTGGATCACATCCCATTGCCTACCTTTTACTCTTCATAACCTGGGCTCGCTTTCTCTCTATAATCTCTACATAACCTGGGCTTTCATCAGATCATTAAGCTGTATATAGACAACACTGCAGACTATTATTTACTTCAGTGCCTTTTATATAATGATCTAGCAATACTGTAAGTAAGTGTAATCAGCTTTTCTTGCCTGTAGGCAGCGATTGTTGTATAACTCATATTTCCCTCCTTTACTTGTATGATAGTGTTCTGTGTACTGCACAGTTTTTATAGCCTTTCCCCATCTAGAGGCCTTAATATGTTTTTATTTACCATTTATTACAGGGGTGTTTCTTTTTGTTTTTGAGAGATTTTTGCTATAGGACGTGTTCGCTCTCCAGAGAGATGCGGAAAAAAAATCGCCCCCCAGGGGAATGGCCATACCACAGTCCCTTCTCCTCCATTCCCCTCTCAGATTTTGGGGGCATACATGTGCATAGACCTGGTGTGAGTTTAAAGCCTCTGGGTCCAGGACTTGAGCTGTGGTCGACCATGTGGGAGTCCAGCACCTTAACTATTACTCTACCTGCTGGCCCCATAGTATTTTATCTTTTATTGTTTTGGTCTTGTTGAATCTATATTTTATTGTTAGCTATTTCATATTCTTTTTTTAAAGTTGGCATATTCATCACTTCGTTTGTGCCTGCTACAACCAATAAATGAATGAGTTGTCTGAAATGCTCAATGACAGAAGAAAATTCCCCTCAAAAGTTTGACCTAGTCAAGAGTCAGTGTAGGGACTGGCAGGTGGCATGGTAGTTAAGGGCACTGGACTCCCACATGGCCTGGTTGGAGTCCTGGGCCTGCTGGCTTGCTTTCTCACTCCCCTTTTTTCTTGCCTCCCTTCTTTCTTTCATTCTGTCCCACTCTGGTTAAATTAAAGTAAATAAATTAAGAAAGTTAAATAAAGTAATTCTATTGAGAAAAAAAAAAGAGTCAGTGTAGACAGGTGATGTGTAAAGACCAGCTGATGACATAATGATTACTTTGCTGGACTCCCATGTAGTCAACCACAGTTTGAGTCCTAGACCCGGCAACTTGAAATTCATTCTGGGAGCATGTGCCTGCATGCCCAAAATTCCGAGAGGAGAGTGGAGGAGAAGGGATTGCATGCAGCATGGCCATCCCCCTGGAATTGATTTCTCACTTTCTGTGTGTCTCTGTCTCCCCGGGAACACATGCACCCAATAGCAAATATCTCTCTCTTAAAAAAAAGATGGGTTGATGTATACAGTGATCTCATAGAACCAGCAGGTGGTGTGGTGTGGTGGTTAAGGCCCTGGCTCCCACTTGAACTGACTGCAGTTGCTTTCTTTCTTTTTTTTTTTAAAGAATTATTTTATTTTTAACTTTATTAATTTGTTTATTTCAATTTGACCAGAGAGGGACAGAGGGAGAGAGAGGGAGAGAGAGAAATCAAGCCACCAGGTCCAGGACTCAAACTGTGGTTGGCCATGTGGGAATCCAGCGCCTTTAGCCACCATGCCACCTGCCGGCCCCCTGACTGCAGTTGCTTTCTAACCTTCTCTCTCTCTCTTTAATTTGCCCTATAGCAAATTAAAAAATAATAATAATAATAGGGGCCAGCAGGTGGCATGGTGGTTGGGGGTGCTGGACTCCCACATGGCCAACTGGGTTTCAAGTCCTGGAAGTGGTGGCTTACTTTCTCACTTTCCCTCTCTCACTTTGTCCCTCTGTGGTCAAATTAAATAAATAAATAAAGTTAAATAAAATAATTCTTTAAAAAAATAATGATAAATAAATTAAATAAATATTTATTTATTTTTGGAGAGTTTTGCTATAGGACATGTAAGCTTGCCAAAGAGACAGAGGAAGGCCATGTCACAGAGGGATGGCCATGTCACAGCTGCCTCTCCTGTATCTCCTGTCGGGATTTTGGGCACCCACAGACACATGTCCAGCGTGAGTTTAAGCTACTGGGTCCAGGACTTGAACCACATCAACTATGTAGGAGTCCAGTGATATAACTATTATATCATCTGCTGGTCCCTAAGTAAGTAATTATTTAAAAAAAAAAAAGTGATGAGGCCAGCAGGTGGTGTAGTGGTTAAGGTGCTGGACACTCCCACATGGCTGACCACGGTTCAAATCCTGGACCTGGTAGCTTGCTTTCTTACTTTCCCTCTCTCTATGTGTCTGTCTCTCTCTAGTCAAAATAAAATAAATGAATGAATAAATAATATAAAGTTAAATAAATCTTTAAAAAGGAAATAAAATGGAAGAGGGGAAGAGTTAGCTGCTGTATTATAAATTCTGATTTATTCTTTTCATTGATCATCAATACCTGATGACAAATTGGAGGCAATAGGTGCAGGTTGCATATTACTCTCTCCAGTTACTTCAGGATTAGATCTTAAAATGAGCCTAAGATTATTTTAAATAAATTGAAACTGTTGAAAATATGAAGATTAGGGGTTGGCAGGTGATGTGATGGTTAAGGCATTGAACTCCCACACGGCTGACCACAGTTCATGTCCTGGACCTGGCAGCCTCTGGTCAAATTAAAAAATAATAATAAATAAAATGAAATAAACCTTAAAGAAAAAAGAAAATATTAAAATTAAAGGGCCACAAGTTGAAACAGAAGTTAAGCTGACTGTATCCCATATGGGTGATTATGTGGTTAAAGTTCTGAATCCATGTGCTTGAAAAACACACTGGGTGGGGACTAACAGATGGCATAGTGGTTACATTGCTGGACTCACACATTGCCAAAGTTTGAATCCCGGGTCTGGTGGCTTAAAACTCAGGCCAGGTGTATGCATGTGTGCATACCCAAGATCCCAAGAGAAGGGATTACGATCTCCTTGGAAGATTTCTTGCTTTCTGTCTCTCTGTCATTCTGTCTCTCTGATGAGTGCACACAACCTATAGCAAAAATCTCTCTAAAAAGAAAAAGAATTAAAAAAGAATAGGGGGACCAGCAGATAGCGTAATGGCTATGTCGCTGGACTCCCACGTAGTCGACCGCGGTTCGCGTCCCTGACCCGGTGGCTTAAAACTCACGCCGGGCACATGTGTGTGCATGCCCAAGATCCTGAGAGGAAAATGGAGAAGAAGAGATTGTGGTGAGAACCAGCAGGTAGCGTAATGGCTTTGTCGCTGGACTCTCACGTAGTTGACCGCGTGGCTTAAAACTCACGCCGGGCACGTGTGCGTGCGTGCCCAAGATCCCGAGAGGAGAATGGAGGAGAAGGGATTGTGGTGTGACCATTCCCACTGGGGGGTGATTTCTCGCTTTCTGTCTCTATGTCTCTCTCTGTCTGTCTGGTGAGCGCACGCGCCCTATAGCGAAAATCTCTCCAAAAAAAAAAAAAAAGATTGTGGTGTGGCCATCCCCCAGGGGGTGATTTCTCACTTTCTGTCTCTCTGTCTTTCTCTGTCTGGCAAGCGCACGCACCCTATAGCAAAAACCTCTTAAAAAAAAAAATAATAATAGGGACCAGCAGTTGGCATAGCAGTTACATCGCTGGACTCCCACGTGACCAACCACAGTTCAAGTCTTGGACCTAGTGGCTTCAAAATCATGCCGGCTGTGTGTGCTGTATACTCAAGATCCTGGAAGGAAAATGGAGAAGGAATTGAGGCACGGCCATCCCCCCGTTCGTTGATTTCTTGCTTTCTATCTCTCTGTCTCTTGTCTCTTCGGTCAGCTCACACGATGTATAGCAAAAAAAAAACCATAAAACAAAAACATACTGGGTATGTATGCCCCAAATCCCTAAAAGAGATAGAGGGAAAGTTTTGGAAAGAGATTATGGCATGTCTATGTCCCTAGGAGGGTTATTTCTTATTTCCCCCCTCTCTGTCTCTCTTTGGTGAGTGTACATGCTGTATAGCAAAAAAGAAAAGAAAAAAATATATAAAAATGAACCTTGAGTGGAGCCAGCAGGTGGTGTGGTGCTTAAGGACGCTGAATTCCCACATGGCCATCCATAGTTCGAGTCCTGGACCTAGGAGCTTGCTTTCTCACTTTCCCTCTCTTTCTTTCTCTCTCATTCCATCTCTCTCTGGTCAAAATGAAATTAATTAATTAATTAATTAATTAATTGGATTAAATAAAAATTATTATTTTAAAGATGAACCTCAAGCTACATTACATTAAGATGGATTTTATCATTTTAGGTTTTGCTTGTGGAAGACTCAGAAAAATATGAAATATTCAGCCAGCCAGATAGAGAAGAGTTCCTGTTTTGTATTTTCAAGCATCTTTGCCTTGGTGGAGCCCTTTGTCAGTATGAAGATGTGCTTAATCCATATATGGAAACAACAAAGCTTATCTATAAGGATCTGGTGAGGTAATATTGCTAGATCATAATATGTAAATGTCCAGGGAACATCTCTTGTACTAACAACCAAAGTGTGTAAACATGGTAGTACACTGACCCCTCTCCTGATGGCCTCCCTCTCTTCCAGGTGAGAAAGATTTATTTATTTATTTAGAGAGATTTTTCACTATAGGGTGCGTGTGTTGGCCAGAGGAAGAAACAGAAAGACAGAAAGTGAGAAATCACACACACACACACACACACACACACACACACACACACACACACGCCTGGCATGAGTTTTAAGCCACCAGGTCAGGACTCCTGGGAGTGCAGTGCCTTAACCACAGTGCTACCTTCTGGCCCCCATCATCATTCCTTTTTAATTTGATGAGAAAGAGAGAAAGAAAGTTAGAAAGCAAGCCACCAGGTCCAGAGCTTGAACCATAATTAGGCGAGTGTGAGTCCAGTGCCTCAGCCACCACACTACCTATCAGCCCTCTGATGTGGTTATGTCTGTTCTGTTATGTTTTTAAGAATTATTTCTTTCGTTTCATTAATTTTCTTTACTTATTTTAATTTGACTAGAGACAGACAGAGAGGGGGAAAGAGAGAAAGCAAGCCATCAAATCCAGTACTTGAACTGCAGTTGGCCATGTGGGAGTCCAGCACCTTTAACCACCACGTCACCTGTTGGCCCCATTTGATGTGGTGTTTTGTTTTGTTTTCCCCCCATCTGATGTGGTTTTTGAACTAGAAGAATATTCTATAATCTCTTTCTGATTTTAATAAAAAAAAAAAAAAACTGTTGTTTCAGTACATTAATATTCCTGGAAGAGGTATGATAGAAACAAAATTTTAGAAGCATACACAGGCCAGCCTGTGTCCTGGTGGTTAAAGTGACTATATCCCACATGGCTAGCCACACAGTTTGAGTCCCAGACCCAGTAGCTTGAGAAACAGGCCTGGCATATGTACTATGTCCCCATCCAAAATCCTGAAAGGAGAGAGAAACAGAGGAGAACAGATTGCAGCATGAATATGCCCCATGGAGGGTGCCTTTCTTGCTCTCCCCACAACTCTGTCTCTGGCAAGTACATGTACCCTCTGGCAAAAGTTCAAAACAAAACAAAACAAAACACCAAGTGTACATATACCCACATCAAAAATATTCTGTCCTAATTACCTACAGCTCATGTGACCTTGCTAGACTACTTCTAACACTCCCTGAAGAAACTCCGATATGCCCTAACCATACTCCTGCTCGCCCCCCTCCCCAAGCACACACTCTACCACTGCCACAGTGTGTTAAACCTCATCAGCCGCATGAACCTGTGGAATTCCTCACAACCCTGTGCATGGGGGAGGAGATCCTGTTGGAGATATTTGGAAGACAAATAACTTTAGAACCTAAATGTTTTAGAGATGTCGTTTTTCCCCCAACTTTCCCTTTCCTGGATTTTTACCTGTGTCTCTCTTCTACATGATTCTGATGCTAAGAAAATGTATGACTCAGAAAGTAATGGCCAAGTTCTAGTCTCTAATTGTGTAGTCCAATGTGGTATCCAACTGCCTTAACCTTTATACCATCTGCTGGCCGTCTTTATTATATTTTAAATATACTTTTTTTCTTTTTTTTAGTGTTCGAAAGAATCCTCAAACGAAGAAAATACAAATTACCTCTTCTGTCTTTAAAGTTACTGCTTATGTAAGTGTTGAGGGAAATTTTGTAGCCAAAGAATTTAGTTGCTTGTTATTCATAGAGTTGTTAGAGTTATCAAAGAGAACAATGTTATTCCTAGGAGAAAGAATAAAGATTTTTAGTGTTTTGTTAAAATTACAAGTCCATAGAGTATGCATCTGTTTGAAGACCAGTTCAAGCTTTTTTCCATGGCTTTCTTTCTGTTGTCTGTATCTAATAATATTCCCCACTTGTTTTAGAACTAGATCTGTGACTCAGTCAGGCACAGTTCTCTGGTCTGTCAAGTCATAATTTATAGAAGTAAGAATGCTATGGGACCAGCAGATGGTGTAATGGTTATGTCGCTGGACTTGCACATAGTTGACTATGGTTCGAGTCTTGGACCCTGCAGCTTAAAACTGATGCTTGGCATGTGTGCATACATGCCCAAAATCCTGACAGGAGAATAGAGGAGAAGGGATTGCTGGATGGCCATCCTCCCTAAGAGGGTGATTTCTCACTTTCTGTCTTCTCTGTCTCTCTGGCAAGCGCATGTACCCTATAGCCAAAATCTCTTAAGAAAAGAATTATAATGCTACAAATGTCTTTATTTCACAAAGTATGATAACTGAATTTTAATATCATACAAAATATATTTGAACAGTATCTAAATACCTTCATTTTATCATTCATCAAATATTTATGAAATATCTCCATGTATCAGCTAGTATGCTGAGCTAAACAAAAGAAACACAGTCCCTGCATCCTTGAAATATAGGGATATATTCTAAAAGAAAATTAAAAATGGCAATTTTTAAAAAATTAGCAATATTAGTACTTTAAAACCACTTTTTAAAATTAGGGATGGGGGGGAGATGAGCTCCCTTTGCTGGAGTGGTCACGCCCCCCTGGAGAGTTGAGCTCAACCCGCTCGGCCTTTCTAGCGCCCTCACCTCCCGGTGTTTGCAAAACGCTGACCACTTGCCATTGGACAGAATTGAAACAAAATAGGCTGATGGCAGCAAATTCTTCAGGACAAGGTTTTCAAATCAAAAACAGAGTTGCAATCTTGGCATAATTGGACAAATAGAAAAGAAAATTACTTATGCAGAACCAATCTTCAGCGAATCATCCTGGAGCTAGCATCGCGCTGTTGAGACTGGGTCTGAATAAGGACTTCCAGGACTACGCCTAATGACGTAGCCATTACGCTAACTGCTGGTCCCAATTTAATAAGTAATTTAAAGAAAAGAAAATTAGGGACCAGCAGATGGCATAATGGTTATGCTGCTGGACTCCAGTATAGCTGACTGTGGTTGGAGTCCCAGACCCAGTGGCATAAAACTCATGCTAGTTTGTGTGCTTGCATGTCCAGAGTCCCAAGAGGGAAGGGATTGTGGTGTGGCCAACTCCTCCTGGGGGTGATTTTTCACTTGCTGTCTCTCTTAGTCTCTCCAGCCGGAACATGCCCTATAGCAAAAATCTCTCCAAAAAAAACGGGAGGGGGGGTAGGACCAGCAGATGGCATACTGGCTATGTTAGTGGACTCCCATGTATTTGACTGCAGTTCAAGTCCCATAGCCGGTGGTTTAAACTCACGCCAGGCACATGTGCGTACGTGCCCAAGATCCCGAGAGAAGAATGTAGGAGAAGGGATTGAGGCATGTCCATCCCTCCTGTGGGTTCATTTCTCACTTTCTGTCTGTCTCTATCTTTCTCTCTCTCTGTCTTTGTGACAAGCTCATGCTCCCTATAGCAAAAACCTCTCAAAAAAAGAAAAGAGAAGGTGTAAATGTATGTATAATATGTGTGCATTTTTAGCATAGTAGACTGTGCTGTCAATAAGTATTTTAAAATACTATTTAACTGCCAATTTCTTGTGAGTTATGTTTTTTTTTAAGAGTTATATTTTGACAGAGCATATGTAATAGAAAAATCTGTTGATTATCTTTTAAATGTAGTGTATGCTAAATAATTTAGCTTTATCTTTTCCAGGATTCTGCTGGTATGTGCTACCCTTCAACGAAGAATCATGAACAGACATTTTCTTACTTTATTGTGGATCCTATTAAGCGTCACGTTTATGTTTTATATCACTGTTACGGTGTGGGGGAAATGTCTTAATGCTCTTTCAGATTATATTGACAATAAAATATTTCATTTATAAACTTTCTATTTTAGTACTAAAATATAGAAAAGTCTTTACTTTGCAAATTAATTCAATTTTGGAGCACAAGATCAAATACCAAGATGCTTCTCTTCAAGTTGATCTGGAATACCAACACAGAAGTCACATTCTATTCCTAGTATAATTTATACCAAAATTATTATAGAATTTGAACAATGAATATAAGGAACTGAAAAGTCTGATTCATATTTGTTGCATTAAGATTGAAGTGAGTCAGGGCTGGCAGGTGGCATGGTGTTTAAGGACAGTGGATTTCCACATGGCTGAGTGTGATTCAAATCCCCACCTGCTTTCTCACTCTCCCCACCTCTCTGTTTCTCACTCTGTCCCTGTCTGGTCAAATTAAAAATAAATAAAGTTAAATAAAATAGTTCTTTTAAAAAAAGAAAAAGATTAAAATGAGTCATCAATTTTCTATATATTTTGTTTAAAACGTTAATTCTGGACCAAAATTATAGCAAAAAACTAAACATCTCTACCACTGATCATTAATATAAATTGTTAGCTTTTTAAATTTGAGTTCCATTTATTTACATTTTATCATTGCACAAGGATCAATAACTCTAGAGCTAGGAAAAGCATAGCATTTCTTATGGTTCATTTGTTCCACTTAAAATTCACAATAAAATGTTTTGGGGGCTGGCAAGCGGCATGGTGGTTAGGGTGCTGGACTCTCACACGGCCGACCATGGTTCGAGCTCCAGACCTGGAGGCTTGCTTTCCTACTTTCTCGTTCTCTCTCTCTGGTCATATTTTTAAAAATAATAATGATAATAATAAATGAAATGAAGTAATTCTTTAAAAAAAAGTTTGGAAAATATTTCTAAACTCTTTTATTACATAGTAAATTAAAACTACATTTGCCCCATAACTAAGATAAGAGCTGCATATAAAGAGAAAATTGCTTTGATGATGATAATCTTTTTGTATTTGCCAGAGAAAAGCAGAGAGACATACAAAGGGAGTGAAAGAAAGCCCTCAGTGGGGCAAGGTCATACTGCAATCTCTTCTGTATCTCTCCAACTATCAGAATTTTGGCCTTGTACGCACATATGCCTGGCATATTTTTTCAGGCCACTGGGGCTTTGAACGACATGGGATTTGAATTACCTGGTCAACCACATGAGATCTTTTTCCATCAACCACCAGGCCACTGGTGGGCCTTTAAAAAAAAAAAAAAAAAAAAAAAGCCACTTTTTAAATTATTTATTGGGGCCAGCAGGTAGTGTGGTAGTTGAGGGCTAGACTCCCACATGACAAAGCACAGTTCGAGTCCTGGACCTGGCGGCTTGCTTTCTCACTTTCCCTTTCCCTCTCTGTCTCTATCACTCAGTCCCTCTCTGATCAAATTTGAAAAAGAAAAAAAAGTTAAATAAAATAATTCTTAAAAAATTATTTATTTATTTAATTCCACTTATTGTTATTACTTTGACCTGACAGAGACAGACAGAAAGGGAAAGTAAGAGAGCAAATCACCATGTCCAGGACTTGAACCATGGTCAGTTATATGGGAATCCAGCACCCTCAACCACCATGCCACCTGCTGGCCCCTATGCCACTTTTCTTAATTTTACTTATTTCTTCCATTAGAGAGAGAAGGACAGAGAGGGGCGAGAAAACCGTATCCCCAAAAGGGTCTTGATGGCACAATCTACCCCCAACCTCATCTAGCGCTGTGTCATAACACATGCATGTGTGGTGTATTCAGAGAGGTCTCTGGACATGAACACAGAACTTCCCATGTGAGTCAACTATGCAGAGAGAAATTTCACTGCTGTATCACCATGTGGCCCCTTGTGTTTTTCTTTTACAGAGTTATTTAATTTGGGGGCTGGCAGGTGACATGGTGGTTAAAGGCACTGGACCCCCACCCACATGGACAACTGCAGGTCAAGTCCTGGACCTAGCGGGTTGCTTTCTCTCTCTCTTTCTCTCTCTTGTCTGATCAAACTGGACAATAATAATAAATAAATAAATTTAAATAATTTTTTCAAATTCTTTCATTTTTATTTATTACCATTTTTTTTTAAATATGCTATATGTCACATGCGCTCACCTGAGAGAAAGTGAGAAAGCAAGCTGCTAGGTCCAGGCCTTGGCCAGCTCCTTACCCATTATGCCACTCACTGGCCCCTTGATGGTATTAAGTAGGCAAAAATGGAAGAAGAAGGTTGTCTTGGTATTGTCTCTCAGTACTTACAGAATAAATGTACAACATAGGTGCTTTTTAAAAAAAAATTTTGCTATAAGGCATGTGCACTTGCAGAAGACAGAGAGAGAGAGAGGGAAAGTGAGAAAAACACGTTTCCTGAGGGTGATGACCATGTCTCAGTCCTTTCTCCATTCTCCTCTTGGGATTTTTGGGCATGCATGCACACATACCAGTATATTTTTCAGGCTCTCAGGTCCAGGATTCAAACCACACAGTCAGCCATGTGGAATCCAGCTGCTCTAACCACCATGCCATCTGCTGGCCCTAACTTAAGTGTTTTTAAATTTTATTTTAATGGAAAAAAAGTGGATGTCATAAATCTTATAAGTGATGGAGAACCTGCAAGAAATGTTTAGACTTTGAGAAGAGGCAAGTTTGGAGTATGTGTATCTATGTGGTAGAGATTATCACTTATGATGATGATCTTGAATTTGAACCTGGATGTGAATCTGGAAGGCAGCTGGTAATTTGGATATGAGGCTTGAGAGTTTGTTTTACTTCTGTCATCTAGCACATGCCTTGGCACATTAGTTTATTGAATGAAAAGCTACTTTCCAGGTATGTTCATAATATTTGTAGTTTTTAATACATAAAAACTTAAAATCAAGAACTAGAATGTCTTATTTGCTACCAGTCTTGGCAGCCTACCAGATAGTCTCCTATGACATGGCAACCCTCCCCGACAGCTGGTCAGACATTGATGGTTTTCGAATACCAATTCTATGTAAGGCTCTGCACAGCTTCCTATAGGGAAACAAGCACTTCCTGTAGACCTGGTGGGGATATGACTACAGACAGTGACTTTTACATGAATTCAGGGATGGAAGAGATCATTGTGAGCTACCCAAATAACTTGACTTCAGTGGAAGGACAAGCTTCGATGGTGGGGCTTTTCCAACCAAAGAGGAAAGCCGTGTGTGGTGTGGCAGGATGCTCTGAGCATATCCCTGGGCAGAAATCCAGAAGCGAAAGATGGGACATTGATACTAAGGAACTGAAGGACAGGCCAGTGGGTTTTGTTTTGTTTTTGTTTTTATTTTTTTTGTTTGTTTTTCCCTTTTAAAAGGAGCTATTGATAGAATGCACCTTTGGGAAAAGATTGCTTCATTGTTGTAAGGAAAATTTATAATTTATAATCTATAATTTATAATCTGTAATTATGCACATTGCCTGTTTTGAGAGGCAGAATAGCATAGTGATAAGGAGTTTGGGCTGGGCTATCAGATTAGATTCTTAATTCTGCTATTGCTTGCTGTGTGACCTTGAGCTGGTTACTTAACCTTTCTATGCCTTTGTTACATTTTCTGCAGGACAGAAAATAATCAGATTTTCCCATAGGTTATTTTGAAAATTATATAAATTAATACATAATTTGGGTTAGAATGCTACCAGGCACATAGTTTAAGTGATCATGAATTTTGGCTGTATTTAATCTTTACTGAGAAAATGAGAGAAACATGAGAAGCTAAACTGTCAGCATATTAATGAAAAAAATGATCTTTCTTGGGTTTAGAATTTCACTTCTACCGATTATTATTAATTTGACTAGATAGAGTATAAAAGGTGAGGGAGGGGGGACCAGCAAGTGGCATGGTGGTTAAGGCACTGGACATTCCCACATGGCCAACCACGGTTCAAGTCCTGGACCTGGTGGCTTGCGTTCTCACTTTCTCTCTCTCTCTCTCTCTCTCTCTCTCTCTCTCTCTCTCTCTCTCTCTCTCTCTCTCTCTCTCTCTCTCTCTCTCTCTCTCTCTCTCTCTCTCTCTCTCTCTCTCTCTCTCTCTCTCTCTCTCTCTCTCTCTCTCTCTCTCTCTCTCTCTCTCTCTCTCTCTCTCTCTCTCTCTCTCTCTCTCTCTCTCTCTCTCTCTCTCTCTCTCTCTCTCTCTCTCTCTCTCTCTCTCTCTCTCTCTCTCTCTCTCTCTCTCTCTCTCTTTGGTCGAATTAAAATAATAAATGGATGAATAAATTTAAAAATTAAATAAATAATTCTTTAAAAAAAAAAAAGAGTATAAGAGGTGGAAATATTGGTTTTTCTCTCTTCTTGGGTCCTAGAGAATATATAGGTCCTGAGCCTGGCCTCCAGGTGTTTGTTGTTTGGGGACTTCTTTTTTGATCTCACTTTTTAAAAATCTGTTTTCTTTATTCATGATGGAGTGTGCATGCACACACAGGAGAGTGACAGAGAAAGGAGCAGCCTTCATAGGGTCTGGTCACGCCATGATCCCCTGCCTTCAGTTTCCAGCTCATTGGATCCTGGGTATTCACACCCATGCCCAGAGTGCCTCAGTCTAACCAGGCCTGAGATTCAACCCATGACCACCACAAAAGATCCAACTTCTGATCAGTGTATTACACCTGTGCCGTGGAGTCAGCCCAGCAGGTATTTCTTTGGCAGTATTTTGTATAGTTGGAATTATTTATTTAACTATTTGTAATCATTCATTTCATTCTGTCTCTCAGGAAAGCAGGAGACACCCTTTTTATTCACCCTTGCATCCCCATGGCCTAACACAGTGCCAGGCATTTGAAAGACACACGATGACTATCTGTTCTCTGACTGAGAGAGTGCATTTATGGAGAGAAGCTGGCCTTGAAATGTGACCCAGGAGTGTGGACAATAAGGATGGGGAAAAGTTGGCACCTTTGGTCAGTGAGCATCAGTGTACAACTGTCCTCTCAGGGGATTAGCCCGTGGACTTAGCAGCCTTCATATCTAGATGCCAATCTCAAGTTTCCCGTGGCATAGTCCCTCTTGTGATCCCTAAACCTTTTGTTAAATTTTGCAATCTATTATAGTCTGGATTTAGCTATACAGTGTGGGATTAGATGTGCAGCCTGGGAACATGCCGGGGGCATAATTGTCATTGGAGAACAGCAGCAGCAGCCTGGAGAAGCCAGCTCTGAAAAAAGCAAGTTGTGATCAGCTGAGAGTGAAAGGGCTGTCTGTGGCGAGATATTTAACCATGGTGACAAGTGACCACAGGATGGTTTTCTGGGACTTGAAAAAAATTCTTCA